TCGAAGGGGATATGGGATTTCAAGGTAAGAAGAGCAGCCTGATCTGTGGTTATGTTCAAATTTGTTATGGCTAGACAAACAATAAGGCATTGGAATATTGAAAAGAATGCCAGGAGGAGGAAGCTAGTTTTACTCATGCTTATGTTCTGTAAGTTTGGTTATGCATACAATCGCATCGAACGAGATGTCCAAATTTATAACCAAAAAAACAAAAAAAGTAATTTTTTTCAATTTTAGCCTCTAATTTTCAATTTTAAATGTATATAGGTTATATTTATCAACCTTTTAATTGAGTCGCAGTTGTGGGTTTTATTCAATTTAATGTTTGACGTGACCTGACCCTTCACATGTTTGTAAGATAAAATGAGTAGATAATCGAGTGATTATCTATTGATCTTCAGTTTATGACTATTGTGCAAATGATTTGCCTAAGAAACTTATCATCACTTCGAAACTGAGCCACTGTTTTATGGCCTTTGAAATCTAAAAACAAAGTTTTGAATAGTAAATTTTTAGAGAATGTGTGATTAAAAATTATAAAAAAAAAAAATTGGATTTATGTACGGAATATTTTATTGTGTGATTGTGTGATTGGAAATGAGTATGTAAAAAAAATAGTTTTTGAATTACGGTTGTCAAACAGGGCTGAGTTTTTTTTATATATATATTTTTTTCCTTATTCTTTCTTCTTATATTTGTTGTTGGCTTTTCTTGGCTTGGTTAAAATAGCTTGCTTGTCAAGGAGTTCGGACAGGTAAGCTCGACTCAATTCCCCCAGGACGTAGGTCAAAGTCGGACTATGGGAGATGTGATATGGAATCATCATACCCCATTGAAGGTAGAACCGTCTAAACCCATCAATTGAAAACGATGACATAATGGATTATGACAGGTTTAGGCCTAATTATGATCATGATTCGGCTTCAACAAAACTTGCCAAACAATCAAATCCCTTTGAACGAGTGAAGTCATACTACCCTAGGTCAGAATAATGTAGCTTGACCTAATCGGGATGACAAACTTAAATCCATCAGTCCGCTTATAAATAGGTGAATGATGAATAACAAAAGAGGGTACGGACGGAAATTCTTTCTTTACAATTATCAAATTCCAGCATCACAATACTTTACGGGGAATTTTCAAAAATGTCAC